CTTAACCCACCGCTATCTATTAATGGTTGGACTGAAAAATAACTGGGTGTTTATGGGCTAATACCAAACTGTCAAGACAGTGTTAGCTAGTATAGTTATCCACTAACTAGCCAGTGGCTAATGTTCACCTAAACTAAGGTCAGTGTTGAAATTTCCTGCATCGGACATAAACAGGCTCAGTCAATGAGAGCATGCATATGCCAGAATCCATTTTTTTTCCATTATGCTATAGAAAGTCTAGTTCTGCAAGATTTAAAAGCTGTAACTGTCTCTGGTCCTTGCAATTTATTGTCAACAACCGAGGGTGTTCATAGTCTGTCTACCTTAAGTTAAAAATGCTAGGGGACCTTTTATGAAAATGCCTATATCGTGGTGCAAGTCCTACTCAATTTAAGCTTGAATCAGGCCAGACAAGGCAAAAAAAACATTCCCCCAGCCCACATTTTATTGTGGGACACGTGTAAAAAATGTTGTTACTACTTTTTTTTGGCAGAATTCCCAGTTTATATATCCACCCAATAAAGGAATGAATGCTTACGTAGCTTAACTAAATCCACCTATCGGTTGTCTTTCCTCTCAACAGTTCTAGAACGATCTGCAAAGGGTTCTTGCTAGCACGGCATTGTTGACCTTTAGATGAACCTCACATATAGCCAAAGTGGTTAATGACATAGAGGGTTACGCAATAGATCCTACAAACTCAAGAGGCCTTGGTTGAATTTATACAAGGCCCATTCATTCTCATATGTTAGGCACAATTAAGCATTGGAACGTTTTGAGATTAAAGCCCATTTAAATAAAGCCAGCTTCAAAATAGCACACTATACTGGAATTATCCAGACAATTGCAGTATAATTAAATTATACCATAATACAGATCCTAAAATCAGACAGATAGCTCGTTAGCCTAATTGCTGTGTCCAGATAGTAAAAGCAGCTGCTTGTCTGAAAGACTGGCACACATGTCATAGAAAACGTCAGGTACACAATTGTTGTATTTATTAACTTTATTTATTAATGACTTCTTAGGGAGATGCAAGAATAATGGGTTCTCTTACCGTTTTTAGCTGTGACCTGCCCTAGTGGATCCGACAATTCACCGACGCACCGTTAGTGATTCAGTGGACTATATTTAAACTTGAAAAGGGCCAGTAGGGGAAGCACTGATTAAGCAGAAATGACAAAGTAGGGTTAACACAGTATCAATCACTGAAATAGGCAAAGACACAGTGACATAAATAATGTTCATTCCCTTTAGCTGTCTGTCAATGGTCCTGCCACAATGCTAGATGAACGACCCTACTAGTAGCAATAACAGCAATTACAGAGGCAAATATAATCAAATATATGAAAATGCAGTAAACAATTTGCCCTAACTACATTGTCTAGGTCCCATCTAATCACTGGCCAATGGAATGGTAAATGTGAAGTTTGCTGCGTTGGGGCCATTTGCCTTAATGTAGGAGCGCTCAACCTTCAGTTGAAGGTATTTTTAATCCAAAGCAAAATGCCCTGAAGTTTCCCAAAGCTCCAGAGGCCAAAAGGTCAATGCAATCCTCTATAAACAGAGATCCACTGTTGGCAGCAAGACAGAAAAGGGCAAGTCCAACACACACAGAGGTGGTCAAAGGCCTCTCACCACTCAAATATCATGTGAATATCCTCTTGACAGCAGTCTCTCCCACAGAACTGCCTGGATGTGAGTTTAAGCAACACAGACCACTCCCTGGGTGGCCTGTAAAGCGCTAACTGTAGGCAGTTTGCTCCATCCCTAGACCCTCCTCCAAAGGCCTGGTGAAAGATAGCACAGCACTCTGGGATTCCCCTCCCAAGCCTGCAATTATTTCCCAGTATCCTCATGTATCTTTAGCATACATTTGTGAGGAGGGAGTTAGTATGTCTTTTCTTCTATAAAGGAATCTTACCTCTCTCATTACACAATTTTTAATCTGTGCACTGATCTGCACATGTGCAGCTCAGTGTACAGTACCAGCATCTTTTGGCTGCTGGAATGAATGAACCCCCATGCACATGTGTAGGAGTTACATCATCCTAGCCAAGCCAATCAAAATGGCTCCCAAAGATCCCAAACCCAGTTGAAGCCAGCAAGAAGATGTTAGTGCTGGAGAGGAGGTGAGTATAGTTCCACTTTAAAGTACCATGTTAGTCTGAATGGGTCCTAAAATCAGTCTGTGTCTCCGTTGGAATATTCTCCTCACTCCCTGTCCTGCCTAACACTGTTCACTTGGACAGGAAGTGAAGAGATGCATTTTGTACCTTTTTTTTGCTGTCTATGCCTCCATTGGAAACATTTTCCCTTACTTTCTTGTTTTGGTGCCCATGCAGAAGGTGAGGGTAAATCATATCGGTGAAGACACAGGCAAAAAAAAAAAAAACCTAAGAGAACTTTTCTCCAATCTATCCATGTCTAAAGAAAAATTTTTTTGCTGGAATTTCAGTTTCATCCAAGACTGAATTCTCCCTAAACCCCTTCCTATATTTAAAGGATGTTGTTCTCACTTGCTCTGGAAGGATCTGCAACAGTAACTGCAACAGTTGTTAGAAGGAGAAACAACAAGCATGCACAATCAGATACAGTATGTAAATCTGATAGTGATTTTCTCTTCACTGACTGTATACTTTTTAATGAGCCTGAGATTGTTAGTCAATATGAACTCTAAATTTCATACTGCACCCTTACTAAAAAAAAAAGACACCAAAAACAACGTAATTTCATTGTGAAATACCTTTGCAACACTTTCCATGCAAGAATTAGGTGTTACGTATAAGTGATAATTGTCCCACACACCGTGTCACAAGTATAACTATCTGCTTAGTGTTACAAGCAGCTCCAGCCCTTCCTTCCAGGCATTTCCTTCCTTCTTCTTTGTGACAGGCTACAGGGAGGGCTGGGAACGTATAAAGTTGGGCACTGACTCTTAGGCATGACACACACCTCTGTGAGTGCAGTTTTTATCTTGCTACCAACTGGGATACTTGCACTTTTCCTGCTTTCACCCTCTGTCTAGCTGCCAGCACACTACGCATCTGCACACAGCAAGAATAATGCTTCTTCTCTATGGCATTTGGGCACTGATCACCTCAGCAGAGTTGGCAGTACTGGCTTCCTTGGATGACCTCCAACAACAGTTTGTGTGCATTGATCAAGCCTGTTACTCTATATCCTGGGCAAGCAGAAAATATGCAAGAGCAAGAAGAGACTGTCAGGATAACAAGCAGCACCTGATGACAGTGAAAAACTCTGAGCAAACACATGCAATTTCTCTATTAATTTCCAAGGTGAAGTCGTATATCAAAGTCTGGATTGGGCTGGAGCCCATAAAGGGATGCACAGATCCGAAACTGCCATTACGGGGCTTTACCTGGGTCACAGGAGACAGTTACCCTGCTTCTATAACATGGAATGATAATGAACAGAAGTGTGCTACGTCCGGTGATCTCTGTGTCACTGTGAACAATAATGGCACTTGTGAAGAGACTGATTGCACATCTAAATCGAATGGCTTGTTGTGTGAATCAAGTCACTCAGCATTCTGCAGCCCACTTACGTTACCGGAAGATTACAAAGTAATTTATGTTCACCCTTCCCATGGCATAGGCCTTAGTCTGAGTAACTTCTACCCTCCAGGCACCAGTGTCCACTTATCTCCAAACCAGGACGATCTGTTCTGTGAAGATAAAGAAGATGGACAAGTGAAATGGAACAGAAAGACCCCAGGAGCCTGGCCCTGTATGATAGATAATGGAGGGTGTGATCATGAATGCGTGGTGGGAAATGGCACCCCAGAATGCAAGTGCCCCCAAGGATCAAAGCTTAAGGAGGACAAAAGGTCATGCTCATTGTCTTGTGATCCCACCCTGTGTAGCCGGTGCTGTGATCCAACATCAATACCACTTAGTTCTCCCTACAGGTGCCCCGAGGGTTATTACCTTGCAAAAGATGGGAAGATCTGTGTAAATAATGATTGTGAAGCCCACCCCAATATCTGTGGGTACTACTGCACCAACAGCAGTGGCGGCTTCACCTGTGAATGCAAAACTGGATTTAAAAAGGTCCCTTTTGACTTTGAAAATCCTGATGAATGGGGCGTTAAATGTCAAGCCGTTGATGAGTGTGAGAAGGCCATGTGTGAGCACATGTGTGAAACGTTCCATGGCGGGTATAAGTGTGTTTGCAATCATGGATATGTACTTGATAAAAACAATCCCAAAAAATGCAAAAGGGTTTGCAATGCATCTGAATGTGAGGCTGAATGCAATGAAAAAGGAGAATGCCGTTGCCCAGAAGGATATATACTGGAAAATGCTGAAAATAAGGGCAAATGTGTTGATGTGGATGAGTGCTTGGACGGCTCTTGTCATTGGGATTGCACTAATTTATTTGGGGGTTTTGAATGCATCTGTCCAAAGGGCTACACTCTCCACAGTGCTGAATGTGTCCCAGATGGGACAGAAGGACCGGGAGGAGTTACTATAGATACCACATCATCAGGCTCCTTCCCACAAATTACTTTCAGCATAGAACCAACTGTACTGATAGGAATATGCATTGGAATTATATCCATATTGGCTGTCCTGATAGCTATGGTGTGTCACATGCTGAGGAAGCACTACATGGATCAGCATGACTTTGACTACAAGCTGAAAAGCACTGAGAAGTATGTTGTACTACAGCAGGTAAAGACGATTCCACAATGGAGATTATAGTGATAACTGTGTTATACACTTTTTATCGGGAGAACACTGACAGTAGCATGCTGTTTCAGGGGAAATGACAACTGTAAAGTTATTTTGGCTATCTTTTGGCACATTGATCCCATTGGCTAAAGCTGGGCTTCAGAGGTAGGCAACTAGTGTGATTATTGGACTTAAAGGGAAAGTAGAGTCATTTTAGTCAGCACATATTTTGAGTTATTGCAGCGTTTGCCATAAAGTACACCTAAAGCCAAATTGTGTTTTTTTTTTTAGATTTTGGATAGATTAGGAAAGGCTGCATACTAGACATGTGCACGGCAAAATATTTTCATTAGTTTCGTCAAAGAAAACTGATTTTTATGCTGTTTCGGATTCGGAGGCCACGAGCCTCCGAATCCGAACACTGTAACTCCATATCGGCTGCCGGCGCGTTCTGCGCATGCGTGCCGCCATCTTTGAGTGTACCTTGGTATACACTAAATGGGCAGCGCCCGCAAGATATACTCAAAGATGGTGGTGCGCTTGCTCAAAACACGCTGGAGGCTGATATGGCTACCGCTCGTTCACCGTGTGACTTCACCAACATGTGACGTCAAGCGTTCACCTCCAAGATGGTGGCGGGCATGTGCAGAACACAACAGCGGCCAATATGGCCGCCGCACGTTCTGAAGACGAATTTATGTATGCCCGTATATAGCTTTTGTATATTCGGGCATATAATTAATTTGTTATTTCGGATTTGGTCGAACCGCCGAATCAACTGAATATCATTGATTTGCAGGTTTGTCCGAATCCGAATGCACATGTCTACTGAAAATCATTTGTGTCTTATTGAGGGAATTTCCCTTTACTTCTTGTCCTGTGGATACAACATCCCCCCCATTGGATGATTTCTCCTCTATTTCTGTTTCAGTGACAATTAAAACAAAATGGTTTCCCCTCACTTTTAGTCCCTGTGATGATATTCACAGGACAACTAGCAAGAGTGACAGCCAACAATAAAAACCGGACAGAGCTTCTAAAACGTTTTTGGAAGGATTAGAACCCCTGTCATGTCTTTATTGCTGTCTGAACCCCACTGCTGGGATTCACCTTCATTGCCTGTCCTAAGGATCATTGTCTCTAATACAGAGAGTTGTCACAGGAGCATTAAGTGGTGGGAAATCTTCCAATGAATGAACCTGTTTTGGTGACAAGAAGAGGGGACATCCCTTTTGCTCTGGAGAGATCACTATTACTTCCTGCTGAGTCTCTGGCACAGAAAATGAAGAGAAATCTTCCTGATGGCACCCCTCAAAGGTGTCTTAACTATTTCCTACTCTAGTTAAACCTTTTAAAAAAAAAGGTTTCAGCTTTACATAAGCTGGCCATACTCCTATAGATTATCTGCAGATTTTCTGTGGTCAGATGGAAAAAGTGCAACAGATTCCTCCATCTACGCTACACTGTGTGGATGGTGGAATCTCCCGCTAGACCAAGCTTCAGTATCTTGCTAGTCGACCCCGCTGGCTCTCAAAATACCTGAACAATCTGATTGGATGCAGGCATTGTTCAGGTATTTTGAGAGCCAGCGGGGCTGACAATGCAAAATACTGACAGGGCTATTCACAAAAGGGAGAACGGTTTGGAGAGGGCAGGAGGAGGGAACAATCTAGGCCAAAATAACTGATTTGGAAAAACTCTCCACTTCAACTCACTTTCCGATTCAGCTATGTTGTCATAGATTGTTCACTTCTCCTGCCTTCTCCAAACTCTTCACCCTTTTGTGAATAAAGTTATATACCCTTACCCTGTAAGGCTCAGCCCAGCGGGAGATTCCACCACACACACAGTTAAGTGTAGATGGAGGAATCTGTTGCACTTTTTCCATCTGACCATAGAAAATCTGCAGATAATCTATAGGTGTATGGCCAGTTTTTCACTAAGTAATTTTTGATATGACCTTTACATTTTTACCTGTTTGATGAAGCTGTGTAAAGATCATAAACCCACAGCAACCAATCACATTTTAGTTCCCTGTAGTCAGCTCAATTTGGTGGTTGATGAAGGAGTTTAGTGTGCATTGGGTGGAATTTATCAAAACTGGAGCAGACAGATTCTGAAGCAGTTGCCCATAGTAACCAATTAGCATCTATCTTCAGTTTGTTCAGTTAAGATTTGAAAATGATAGATAGACGCTGATTGGTTGCCATGCACAGCTGCTCCAGATTTTGTCTGCTCCAGTTTTGATAAATTCCCTTCATTGTGTTTGACCACCGCACTGATTTTTAAAAAAAATAAGGCCAGATGTTTTTGTACTGTATTCCTCCTATGCTCCTACTGAATGTTTTTTCCTGTGTAGATATTGTAAAATTGTTGTGAATAATTCTAACGTATTCTTTGTTATCTGTGTAACGTAGTTAATGTGAAAGGTACACAAAACATTTTGTATTAATAAAAATTTAGCTTTTGTTATACCATTGAAAGCAGAATAAAGGGGGTTACTAATTCCCAATATTAAAAGTATGATTTTTTTTTGTCTGTTGTTTATTAAGCTTAAAAAAAAAAAAAATGTGCGACAGGCAAGCAACATAACCCAAAGCAACCTAACTATATCCATCTTTCTATAAACTAAAATATCATTGCTGTGGGGTAGCACACATTGCACATTCTGATGCTGCTTTTGCGGTTTTTAGTATCTAAAAGAAGAAAAATATATATTGCAGCTTTCCAGTCCTTAGATTAGTGGTGGCAAGGAGTCTTTACTAGCCTTATTTTTCCTTGCCAGGTGATTCTGCCAGAAACACAAAAACAATGTTCACTCACTGTCCTGTATGGAGAAGTTACCCTATGACAGGACTACAGAACATCTTCCCCTCCCCACCTCTCCACTTTCCTCTGCTCTGTCTTCTTTCTATTCTCCTCTCTCCTCTGCTCTCTCTTCTCATCTCTCTTCTCCTCTCTCTTCTTCTCTCCCCTCTCCTCTGCTCTCTCTTCTCCTCTCCTCTCCTCTCCACTTTGGTAATCAGAAGAAATAATTCATAATTTAACTACAATCTTCAGAATTCTGCCCACAAGGGGTTTGGTGAGCCAGCCACTAACCACCCTGCCTGAACACTGCTGCTTCTGTTCACCGTTACCATTAGTGATGTTCTAATACAATGATGGGCACCAGAGGGCAGAAGAATTCTGAGGATTAAAGGAAAACGTTAATCATTTCAGATACATCTCTAACATAATTTTGTTGTCAGTTGGGGAACAGTAATTTAATTACAAAACCTTAGTAGAACAGTAAAGATTTGCTTCCATTCCTCTATGGAAGAACATTGATTTTCTGTGACATAACGGATAACTCCTATCTAACACTTGAAATAGGTTGTGAATAAACTTTATATTATTCCCTCATCCCGAGAAATCCAGCGGCAGTCTGAGACTTGCTCCTCCATATAACACTGTGATAAAAAGAAAACCACTGGGGAATTATTGTCAGATACAAAACATGTTTTAACCCCTCTAGGACTGAAATAAAGCAAAGCATTTGGATTACAACATACAACATATACTGTATGCTACATATACTGGAGGCATATTTTGTAACATGTGCTACAACACTGCACAGTACTTATACAGGTGATTGTTTTTTAAAGTGACTTTATTGCTAAAATACAATTTCAGATTAAGTTGTTACCTGTAAATGAGCAAGTAAATACCTTTTTCTGCTGATCCATTCACTAAATAGTTTTCCATTGTTGAGAAATTGCAAATTCTGTGCAGAAACCGAGACTTTGTGGCGTGTCTGTTTGCTCTATACCGTAATCACATGGAGGTCAGTGGGAGCAAAGACTGAACGTTACACAGGCAACCAACACTCTAACTGTAAGTTTCATCAAAGACTTCAGGGGGGATTCTTGAAGCAATGGAGCATTCACTGGCATGGACCATGGCAAAGTCAATTTACTTTCTTCTTTACAAGTAACAACTTAATTTGGAATTGTGTTTAAGGGACAAACTCATTTCTGAAAATGGATTTTCTTTAAAAAGGAAAACATTAGGAAAACTGTAATAATCAGTACAGGGTAGCAGGTCATCATTTGGGAAGTTTACCATATGGATGTATCCAAATTTCTGAGTGAAAGATATAATGAATGTGAACGTATCTGAATTTTCTGATAACGAAATTCGGATGCGCATAAAACTCTTTCTAAATGTCATTCGGAATAAATTTGTGTTGTTAAAAGTTTTTAATAAAACAACGTGGAATCCCCTCCCCAATTCATACTAGACCCTTTAGGTCTGGTAAGAATTTTAGGGGAGACCCTAATGCAAAAAAAAAAAGCATGGGCCCCCTCCTAAAATCGCTAACCAGGTCCTTGATCCGAGCAGCAGCTTGGCAGAGCAGCAATGTAAATTAATTTACCTGTCCAGTTCCAAATGGCAATTTAAAATGAAAAATCCACTCTGAAGCAGATTTGAATTTGCTGGTCCAAAACAAAAACATACCAGTTCTGCCATGAGTACATGAATGGGTTTGCTGAGTGTAAGGCCAGTATTCACATGATTACAGGTGAAGCCTATATTACCTGAAGGGGGTGGAGGGACTTGTTCCGCCCATTTGTTTACATTATGTGACACCTCTGGTCTCCTAATGGGATGTAAACAAATGGGTGGAACAAGTCCCGTGACATCACAACTCGGCCCACCCCTTTGTTTACATTTGGGAGCAGAACTGCGGCCAGTGTTCATTGGCTTTAGTCGTCTTCGGCGGGAATTTTCTTCTTTCGCTAAGTGGGCAGCCATCGTCCATTATGATTGACATGGACCTACATCGCTGGACAACGTGATTGATGATGGGTAACATCAATGGAAATTTTTTTGTTTTTTATGGTGTGGTGTGTTTATTTGCTATTTTACTATATTTAGTGAATAAGTAGGGGTAACAACTAGCTCCTACAAGGGAGGGGGGTATATGCGGCATCTGGGTGCCCCCTTTTTTAAAGGGGGCACTCAGATTCCTATGAACTCCCCTGTACGCAGACCCCCCACAACCACTGGGCCTGGGTTGTGGGGAAGAGGCTCTTGTCCTAATAGACATGGAGACAATGTGCTTTGCCAGGGGGTCCCTCCTGGAAATCTACTGACAGAGTCTTAACATGGAAACAAACGTGGGGAAAAGTCAAAGGAATAGCCAAGGAATCAAAAAAGGTTATTAGAAGCATTCATGCAAGAGAAAGGGTCAAAACAAGAGCAACCACACACAAGAAAACCGTCACAATGGAAAGGAAACAGGACTGCCACTCTACCATGAATCAATGAGAGGGGTTTGTGTAGCTGGTGAGCTCTTCATTTTGTAGCAGTCACCTTTCAGGTCAGTGGCATAACCAGAGCTACGGGGCAAAACAAAAAAACCCCCCCTCCCCCCCAATGTCTTAGTTATAAACATTCATCCAAGTGCCCTTCTGGGGGTCTTCAGGCTTTAAGCAGTGCAGAATGGCACCAGCTATAAAGGACTACATATCCCAGCAATACATTATACAGCAAGGCAGAATACCATCAGCTATAGAGGACAGAAATCCCAGCAATACATGATACAGAAATGCAGACAAACACCATCCCATTCATCCCCACTACATGCAGCAGACCCACCTACAGGCAACAGACCGCCTCTGCATGCAGCAGATCCCCCAACATGCAACAGATCCCCCCTACAGGCAGCAGACCCCCCCCCCCACAGATAACAGGTTCCCCCTACAAGCTTTAGATCCCCCCTCCTACAGGCATCAGATCTCCCTACAGGCATTGGATTCCCCCTACAAGCAGCACATCCTCCCCTACATGCAGCACATCCCCACTACATCCAGCACATCCTCCCCTACATGCAGCACATCCCCCTTACAGGCATCAGATCCCCTCTACAGGCAAAAGACCCCCCTACGTGCAGTAGATCCCCCTACTTGCAGCACACCCCTCTGCAGGCATCAGATCCCCCCATACATGCAGCACATACCTCTACAGCACATATGTCAAAAAGAAGGCCAAATTCAGCCTGCCAGCCATTTTATGTGGCTCTTGCACCTCTCCCTTTTAAAAATGAAGCCAGCACTGTAAACAGGCGCCCGGGATCACAGGAAGGCTGCCAAGGTCCCCAGCTTCCCGCAGCTTTCCTGTGTATCGCAACACCTGTCTACAGTGACGGCCGAATATGTCCTCCTCCTTCTGTGGATTCACAAAGCCCTTACCCAGAGACTGACCGAGCGGGACCCCTGGTTAGACTGCACAGTCCTACTAAGACCCCGCAGAGCCGAACATAGACCCCGCACAGCCCAGCTGAGAGTCCGTACAGCCCACCATAGAACCTGTGCAGCCCACCTGAGAGTCCGCACAGCCCATCATAGAACCAGAGGAGGCAACCTGAGAGTCCACACAGCCCACCATAGAACCTGCGGAGCCCACCTGAGCGTCGGAACAGCCGACCATAGACTCCACATAGCCGACCACTGACCCCCTGAGAATCCACACAGCCCACCATAGAACCTGCGGAGCCAACCTGAGAGTCCACATAGCCCACCATAGAACCTGCGGAGCCAACCTAAGAGTCCACATAGCCCACCATAGAACCTGCGGAGCCAACCTGAGAGTCCGCACAGCCCACCATAGAACCTGCACAGCTACCTAAGAGTCCACGTAGCCTACCATAGACCCCCACATAGTCCACCACAGATCCCCTGAGAGTCCACACAGCCCACCATAGAACCTGTGCAGCCCATTTGAGAGTCCGCACAGCCTACCACAGACCCCCTGAGAATCTACACAGCCCACCATAGGCCTCGCACAGCCCACCATAGACCTCACACAGCTCACCACAGAACCTGCGGAGTAAACCTCAGAGTCCGCACAGCCCACCATAGACCCTGCAAAGCCCACCTGAGAGTCCGCATAGCCCACCATAGACCCCACATAGTCCACCACAGACCCCCTGAGAGTCCACACAGCCCACCATAGAACCTGCACAACCAACCTGAGAGTCCACACAGCCCAACATAAAACCTGCACAGCCACGAGAGAATCCGTATAGCCCACTGTAGACCCTGCATAGTCCACCTGAGAGTTATCATAGACCCTAGTCCTTTGAGAGAAACAATAATGTTGCGGATGGCGCTGCTCACAACAGAACAAACATACAGATGTCACCAGCACACCAGCACCAAGATCCCATGTTAGTGCAAAATCTATTTTATTGATAGTTGTCATTTAAACGACAGGCGCTTTCTGGGCTGGGCTGGGCAGGGTCCCCTACATCAGGCTCAGAAATTACATTCTATTATGTCCATATAAAAGTTCTGCCACTTTTATGTAATGTCCTTTCTGAGCCTGATGAAGGGGACCCTGCCCAGCCCAGAAAGCGCTTGGCTTTTAAATGACAACTATCAATAAAATGGATTTTGCACTAACAAGGGATCTTGGTGCTGGTGACGGGGCACGTTTTATGGTCTATACTAGCCCCCCCTTTTCAATTGATATTTAATACAGTATAATATATATATACGGTTACCTGTTAGTAGTGGAGACGACAGTGCATGGTGGAGACGGAGGATGATTTCGGAGGACCTCCCTGATGTCACTTCCTCCCACCTAATCCCTGCCGCGGAAGAGAAAAACAGAGGGAGGGACTCGACAAGTGAAGTCCGGTGTGAAAAATGTGCCCGGGTGTGATTCGGGCTCACACCCGAGCACAGGATTCCAAAACCCAGTGTTCTATCAAAGTTTGTGACTAGGTTGGAATGTGTGACCGGTCACGTGGTCATACATTTTACCGTAATCCCAAGTCGGATAGAAGTGAGCTGTCCCAGGGCAGATCGGTTCTCCTGCACATACCATCTCTGATGCCGATCTGCCCTGGAAGAGCTCACAAAGCGTTGTAATGCTTCACCTAATGGGTGGTCACACATTCCACCGCCGAAAAACAGGGCGGGATTACGTTAAAATGTGTGACCACGTGACTGTTCACACATTCTAACGTAGTCACAAATGTTGGTAGAACACTGGACTGTCCAGGTGAATCCCGGATGGGTGGCAACCCTAGAGACTTTGCATGCCTCTGTGGCATAAAAAATCGCCCCCGCAATTTTTTTATTTTACTAACTTGCATTTATTAGCTGTTTCCACCAGCCGCACGTCTATCGCAATGTCCCATTCCTGGAACACAAGAGATCGCATATATATTGTTTCCTTGCGTTCTGGGGTAGGAGGGGGTGTGGCAGTGCCATTCAAGTAAATGGCACTTCAGATATGCCCCCCCGCCCACAGTAAGAGCGGCCGCACAGGAACGTGCGGTAATAAAATCCCCTGTGTTCCAGTGTGGTGGGATCGCAAAAAAAGCATGCATGAACGTTTTTTTGCGACCCCACCACATTGGAATGCAGGGCATTTTATTACTGCACGTAACTGTGCGGCTGATCCTACTGTGGGCGGGTCTGCAGTGCCATTGACTTGAATGGCACTGCCACGCCCCCGTCCCGCACCAGAGCGCAGTGAGACTTTATATAGGCGATCCCTCGCGTTCCGGGCACGGGACATTGCGGTAGATGTGCGGGCTGGTGGAAACAAGCCCTTAAGTAGAACACCAGGCATAAGTTTTATTTGTTTTGTGTGTGAGTATTAAAATATAACACATAACATCTGTGTCCCCAACCTTCATTTCCTATTGTGTCAACTATAAAGAAATTGTGTCAGGTTTTGTTCCTCTGCCTGTATCCTTGATGTGTACTATTGCACATAAAAGAAGCCCCCACAAAACATTTTTTGGGGGGGCATGTTTAATGTGCAATACTGATCCCCCCCCCTTTCCAATTGATATTGCATTTGATAAAAATGTAATAAATACCTGCTTTTCTCCTCGTTGAGGAGATGAGAAGGGCGGTCCCAAACTCGCCTGCCAGACGAAAGTGCTGCTCTCCACAACCCCTGCTGGCTGGCTGCCGGAGGAAGATTTGTCCCTCACGGCTCCCTCTATCCCTGATGTCACTTCCTCCCACTACAGCCGCGGAGGAGAGAAACAGGGGAGGGAGAGTCGAGGGACACGAAACAGGGCCACCCACTGTCAGCCACCCGCTATCCGCCACCCGTCGCAAGAAATGCAAGTATGCGGCATTGTACGGTTTGAATTATGTGCCCAGGCGGGACGTGTGCCCAGACCCGGGCACATGATTCCAAACGCGTACTGTACGGGTGAAACCCGTACGGGTGGCAACCCTAGGTACACTGCAGCAGCACAGCCAGAAGCGTGTCTCTCTGATCAGAATGCTCGCTGCCTTGTTTTGTTCCCCTTAGGCCGACAACCCCCCCCCATCTATGAGTCCTGGGCAACCGCACCGTTGCCCCCCCCGTTTGTTACACCACTGCCTTTAACCTCCCTAGTACTCTTGTTTGGACAGATTTAGGTGAGTTATTCCTAAGATTTACTAAGAATTACAGGCCTACAATATAAAACAACAAATTTCCATGAAAAACAATGTACCGCTTTGGGATGCTAAAATCCTGAATAATCATACTGCCAGGGAGGTTAATCATGTGCTTACTGGCCTTACCCTTCAGGAAACCCATTACTATACTCATAGCAGAACTGACAGAACTATGGTATGTTTTTGTTCCCCTTGTGGACTAGCAAATCCAAATCTGCTTCAAAGTGGATTTTTCATTTTAAATTGCCAGTTAGTACTGAACAGGTAAATGAATTATTTGCAGTGGTAACTTTGCCGTACAATGGCATAACTAAACAGGAAGTCAGCTGTGTGCTGAAAAACAATGTCAACTTGCTTATTTAGGCCAAGGTTATGTTCTGTTTGTAAAGTGCCCCCCCCTTCTCTACACCACTTATATTTATCTTACTCACACTCCCCGGCTGCCTCTGTCTTCAACAATACCCACTGCTTTAGGATATGGGGGGCATGTGACCTTCTCCCATGTGACAGTGTCCAGTTTAGCCTTCCATTACTAGTCTCAAGCAGTCTTTCATGACCGGGGGGAGTGTATCACCAGCTAACAACTTCAGTTTCAGTGCTGGACGAAGTGGAGGAAGAAGCTGGAAGGAGCACTGGTGCTTTGGACGGCACCTATCAAATACACTATCAACTTGCTATGAATAGGTAAGGTGACAGTGTCTCTTTCGATTCAATATTTCATATAAACACTTTTATTATAAGCTTCTCCTAAAGGATCTTTTACTTTGAAAAGTTCCTGAAACTATTACATGAGTATCCATAAATTATAATAAAAGCTGTTTTACAACAAACCAGTTCAAGAAAATGGTGTACAATGAGAAGCTTTAGGAAACACAAACTAAGTAAATTAAAATCTAAAAAGGTTGGCAACACGAACTGTCAAATCATACGTTTTTCATGTTGTGTCCCTCCAGCGCCACCTGGAGCCCTTTTAAAACACCTATACGAAAAACAACTTTCAAAAAGTTACTATTGGCATAACCATAGGCACGTCTGCCAGTAGTTCACTGATCTGTCAGGCTTTGCACTGTGACATGGTCCTAAGGTTTGTGTTCAAATCCTAGAAGAATATGTATCAACAGAGGTGCTGAAATGGTTTGATATTCGCTTAAGCTTTCTTTACAAAACAAGGATTAATGATAAGGGAAAAATTGCCATAGCCTGCTATAATCAGTCAGATCAGGAAAAGATCAGATCAGGGAAAGATACATTCTGATAGATTGTTGAGCGTTGGTGCACTTTACACTGTTCTTTGTTTTACTAAATATAACAAAATATTAGCTAATGAAATGTAATGAGGCAGTATGGAGGATGCCATTGCTGACCTCCTCTATTGAAAATGTCTGTTCCCTGACTATCATGGTGATCCGCTGGCATCAAACATTTGTGACTCAGTAACCAGAACAAGCATACAGATTAGGGGCTTTGACTTTACTTACATTTTCTGTTGCGTGTTTTTTTTTCTTCAGGTCAGTGTATTAGAGAGCATTAAATTCTCAGACTGCAATGCAAATAGTTTTTATTAAAAGAAGGAAAGAAAGGTCAGCCTCCTCTCAGAACAGGATTGCTATAAAATGGAAAGCACATTAAACCCATGTAAACTCTAACAAAGAACTTCTCTTATTTGCTCCCGTTTTGTCTGGTAAATATACCCTTGAAAGTGATTTGTTATTAGTGCAAAACACAGGGATCCCAACCTAAAATAAGTCATTTCAGGGAGGTGCCCCCTGCCACCCCCCTCTCCAACTTGGGAGGGGTGCAACAACAAGGAAGAGAGCCGCCCCCTGAAATGATGGCAGACAGCAAAGAAGCTATTGCTTCCTGTGCTATATGCTGTTTTTTTCAGTATTCAAACCGAATGTAAAAAAAACAATGGCATAGGAATGAATAGCTAAATTGCTATTGGCTATTTGAATTTGCAATAGCCAATAGCAAGTTGGCTATTGCACCCGCCCAATGCTGCTGTCAGTCAGCAGGAGGACCTGATGGAGAACTTCAGGTCCACCTCTGCTGATTGACAGCAGCAGTGGGCAAGTGCAATAGCTAGTCTGCTATTGGCTATTGCAAATTCAAATAGCCAATAGCGATCTGGCTATTCAATCCTACGCTGTATTTTTTTTTTCTGACTGATGACGGCCGGCGGCCCCAATGTTAGAAAAAAAAAACAGTAGGGAAAGGTTTACTCTGCTAGATCGAGCAGAGTAAACCTTTCCGGGAGAAAATGTTTCTTTCACAGGTGTCTGGTTAAAGAAAGCCCTCATCCGCCTGTATCTAATAGCGGGAGACTCCCAGAACATCTGGGAGAGTTAAGATGTCTGAAAACATAGCTACTGTATTTATCAGAAAACCAGTGAGCTCATCATTTCATGTAAATGCTACAGCATTATCACAAGTAATGTTATCAGCCATGCCTTGGTTACCTTAGTAAAGTGAAGACCCCCCCCTTTCTGTCCTAGGGTGACAATGCTGCTTCTTCAAAAAATTCAGTACTGTAAGGTGAGCATTGTCACCCTAGGACAGGAAATATGCTACTGGCAGCATCAAAAGGAGAAAATAAAGGGAAAAAAGCCTAAAAAAAGCAAACTAATTCAGCCACCCCATCTAAGGGCTGGTAAGCTGTAATATATATATTTTACTTTAGGGTTTACGTGGCAGAATGCCTTGTTTCTTTTCCATTTCTTGATGGCTAATCATATCTGCTGATCCTGCCAGTAAAAGGGCCATAGGTCTGCTTCCTGTTCAAGGGTGACACAAAATATGTCAGATGGGACAGCTTGCTGCTAATAATAAAACTGCGAGGTGCTGCAAAGGGAATTGACCATATCACTGCTGATGCGCACCCTGCCACCCACATGCCCTGCACAGCAGATGAAAGAGAAAGCAATTGGTCACATGACTTCTTACAAAAACATGCTATTTGGCTGAATTTTCTACAAACTACTTGCACTGTACTATATATTCTGTACTATGATACTTTAAATTGAATCTGTGCCCAGATTATACATGCAAAGGTATTTAAATATTCTAAGCAAGCAGTATATATACTTTAAAGAAAGCCCTCATCCGCCTGTATCTAAGCTGTTGGAAACCAACTGAAACCTGACTTTAAAGTCTTTGTGTGATCTTTATGGATTTTTGAGAAAGAGTAACTTCACATTAAAAGCAGAGAGCTCGGGGTGGTTTATTTTAAAGCACATTTACTGGTTGTTTTGAATTTTGTTAATAATTTAATGTCCATAGTGTGGGCACAGGTGCATGTTAAAGTGTATTGCCATCAATACTTACATTGTTCAAGATGTCTCCCAAGGTCTGCACATTAGTTTTTGATGCCAAGAACTAGAGCTGTTAGTTATCTGTTAAAGAATAAAACTGCCTGGGTAGCTTTAATCTTAACCTTAAACCTTTAACCCAAATTAACCCCTGAAATGCTACATTCACCTTTTCGGGCATAAGTAGTTCAAGTCTGACAGACTTGAAAATTAGGGATCCACACAGGACCGGATTAAGAGCATCATGAGCCTCGTGCTGAGGATTTTGGTGGGCCTTTTTAGCGAAATACATAAAAAGAAAACATTTATTTATGATTAAAGTGCATTAACAAAACATTGGATAGCTTAAACACACAGAAAAAAAGACTTTTTCACTGAACACCAATTTACCTAAATGAGGCAAACTGGTAGATTAAAATGAAACTACACATTCACTTTCCCTGCTTTTTTGCTACAAATTCGTCAATTGTAGAATCGACCAATTACACTGCAACATTTTATAAATAATATATAGAAAACATCATATGACACGGAACGTTCTGCTGTGTCCTGCAACATCTATTGTGGCTGCTGATGGGTTGAAAGTGTCAAAAATCCTGTGTAATAAAAATTAGTTAGGAGGCCTTACACTTACTGCCAATGTAACTGAGGTATTCTCACTGACCAGCAATGTAAGAGAGATATTCACACTGATCACCAATGAAACAGAGATATTCACACTGACCACCAATGTAAGAGAGATATTCACACTGACCACCAATGTAACAAAGATATTCACACTGACCAGCAATGTAAGAGAGATATTCACACTGACCACCAATGAAACAGAGATATTCACACTGACCACCAATGTAACTGAGGTATATACACTGACTATCACTGTAACGGAAGTATTCACACTGACCAGAAATGAAACAGAGATATTCACACTGACCACCAATGTAACTGAGGTATATACACTGACTATCACTGTAACAGAAGTATTCACACTGACCAGCAATGTAACAGAGATATTCACACTGACCACCAATGTAAAGGATGTATTCACACAGACCAGCAATGTAACAGAGGTATTCTCACTGACCACTAATGTAACGGAGGTATACACACTGACTACCAATGTAACCGAAGTATTCTCACTGACTGGCAATGTAAAAGAGGTATTCTCACTGACCAGGAATGTAACAGAGGTATATACACTGACCACCAATGTAAGTAATGTAATGTAAGTGCCGCAAGGGAACATGAAGCTGGCTCCAAGTTGTTTGGCCGGCTCCAAGCTGATTGGCCGGGAAGCCCGCTTTCCAGCCAATCGGCATCGAGCCGGGCAAACAAATCTGATAATATGGCGACACGACCCCCACCCTGCAGACAAATCATTCCCCTCACATAGATCCTTAGCAGCAGTCATTACCATACCAGTCCCTCAGCCAGCAGGGCAGACACCGCTCTCCAAGCTCTCCCAGATCTGCCGTCTCCTGTGTGCACAGAGCCAGCATGATCTTCCCTCAGCC